CACACCTAAGCTACCTAGCTCTTATTCAGGTACTTATTCCTTATCCTATCTTCCTGGCGTAAACAAAGCATCATCTTATTCTCAATCGCATACAACCACTTCTTTTTCGGTGTTTTCTCCTACGTCTATTTCCATTACAATTCTTAATGCTTCTGATTTTTCTCGCCTCGTGACATTCTCAAACCATATTAGTTTATTTTCACTAATTTTGTCCACTACCTAGATCACACCTAAGCTACCTAGTTCTTATTCAGGTACTTATTTCTTATCCTATCTTCTCTCGTCACTCAAGTCATCCACCTGACTCTATCTTGAAAAACCATCGATTTCCAAAATGTTTTTTTAACGAAAGACGACACAGTTTTAAAAATGCAGTTGTTGTCATTACATGACTCTGTAAAAAGGCATTTTCAACTATAACTTCTCGGCCTCTCGGGGACACTTTTCGACAGTTTTTAAATCTTTTAAATCCGGGTTCTAATATCATTATCGTACATACGGACACGTGTGCCTTAGGTTTTCTTCACGCATGGTATATAATTTCGGTTTACCGACAACCGAAGAGGCGGTATGTCGTGCGTAGACGCAATCATCCGATATAATATAATATGATACACACTGTATATATATATATATTATAACTTGTAATACCTACTTAGAGATTACGTGATTTTATTTTCGTAAAAACGCAAAAACAAAATATTATAATCGCGTTATATCATCGCGCCCGTATACTATCGTTTTTCGTTGGGATCCGGCTCGAGTATACCGGAGTAGATACCGTACCAGTTATATCGTTTGCGCCCACAAAAAAAGGTTAAGGTCTGCGGGCATAATTTTTATTTTTGTTACTTTTAATACAATCGTAAGTATATAGCCTACACGCGTGCTGAGCCCCGCGTACTGTACTATAACAACTAGGTACACACTGTAACGTCCGATGTCCGTTCCCGCGCAAAGACGTCTCGCTCTAATAATTACACTCTATAGTCTATACGGTGTATACGTACCTAATGTACACACGACACTCGTTATCCATTTCATTATTATTATTACTATTATATTTTTCATTCCTATGTGTACAATCGTAATGCGTTTACAGGCACAAATACGCATTGTTACGACACATATATATGTATACTGCCATCGTCTTATATGT